GGCTACCCGCGCCGCTCTTGGAGCGTCCCCGAGGGTCCCAGACCCGGAGACCTTGGCTTCTCCTCCCCTCCCTCTTCTGACCTGGAGCCTTCTTTCTAAATTAATGTCCCCCCTCCCCCCCGCGGGTGAGATGGGTGGGATGGAAGGAGCAGGGGCTGCGCGATTTGCGCCCTCTCTCTGATTCCTTTTCTTAGAACTGAGCTGGGACACAGCCAGGGGGTGGGGTGGGGGGAGGGGTCAGAGGAAAGCCACCCAGGGACCCTGGGCGGAGGCCCGGGAGGAGAGGGCTGTGTCTGCTCGCGAGGAACCCTCCCCCTGCCCTCCTCCAATCCCCCTCCCCCGCTCGAGTAACCGAGACCCCTGGCGAGGCCCAGCGCGCTCACTCTTCCTCTTCTCCCCCCCTTTTTTTGCAGTTGTTATTGAAGATGATAGGATTGATGACGTGCTGAAAACTATGACAGACAAGGCACCTCCTGGTATTTAACTCCCCCAAAGACAATGGGTTAAGGGTGAGGATAAGAATAAGAACGGCGCTAACAGTTATTGGCAAAAAGCGTGTGAAGAGAGGAAGCACTTTGAAATTTATTACTAGCTTGCTACCCGCGATGGAATCAACAGCCTGTATGTCGAGTCAGGCCGGGAGACAGATGATGAGGCGGGAGAAGGAGGAGGAGGAGGAGGAGGAGGAGGAGGAGAAGGCTCTGGGCTCCTCTGCAAAAAATAAAATTAAAAAAATAAATAACAGAATCACTATATACACACACACACATATAAAGAAATAAAGTCTCAGTTGCAGCTATTTGTCAAAATTAATATCCATTTCTTTTTATATACAGTGAATGTTGCGCAATTATAGATCCGGATTTTGAACCACTTTAATAGTGAAGCGGCAGTTCCGGGTGTTTGAGGTGGTGGCAATCTTCGCTGATTTGGCTGTTCCCAATGTTTACATTATTTAGTCTTGCAAAAATTATTCTGTGCACTTGGATGTGAAATGCTGTTCAGTTTTATTTTTTTATGTTGTTATCCTTGGATGTACAAAAAAAAAATACCGGAAAATGATCTGTATAGATATTCTGTTTTATTTTGGTCCTCTTTCAAAGTTAATCAGGAATGTGTTGAAGATAAGAGAACTTTTTTAAGAAATGATGGCTACCTAGAAAGAATCCCTGTTTTATTTTAAAATGAATTGTAAAGCTGTGTTTCTTTCTTACTGCAAGCTATTTGCCCAAGTTCATGCAAATGGATACATTTTTCTATGTCAGGAAAGAAAAACCATAAAAAAAAAACACAAAGAAAAAAAATGCTTGAGCTTTTTCTAATCTCTCTCTGCAGTCTGTTGGGTGAGCAGCCTGTTTTTTCTCTCTGATATTGTGTCAGTTTATTTTCTTTAATGGACTGTAAAAAACAAAATGTAATCACAAGAGTGCCAAATATCTGGAAATGCCAAACGGCATTTTGGTTTCTTTTCTTTTTCTTTGTGCTCTGAGTCCACGTAAAGGAATGCTTAGAGTGTCTTTTCTGTTATTTATAGGGGTTCTCTTAAGGCACACCAGCTGCCTGTTTTGCATGGTATTTGCAAAAATGCCTCTTGCGTGAGGAAATCTTTTACCATCTTTCCGTTTGCAACTTTGGACCTCAAGAGGTTTCTTCCCTTCCCTTCCCTGGTCCTCTTTTCTTAACTCGATATTCTGTATGTTGCACCTTTGACCAGCACACAGGGCTATTTCTCCGATGTACAATAAAAGAACTGTTCCTGTGTCTCACTCCTCTCTTTTCTCTGCTTTGGTTCTGGGGGACTTGCTTTTTGCCTGTGAAGCAAAAAGGCAAAGTGGGAGGCACAGTGGACTGGGCTCCGATGGTAGGAAAGACAAGCTGGACAGCAAGTTCAAAGAGCAAGTTCATTCACTGTGTGGATTTTCACTGGGCCTCCCTGCTTCCCTGAGGTTCCTGCCGTCGCCCAGGGGTGTGTGGGGGGTGTGGAGAGAAGGGGGGCTGGTGTGTAGGGCGGCAGTCTTGTTAAGAACAGTGGAGGCTGGCAGGCTGGGACTCAAATCCCAGCTCCTTCACTTCCTAACTGTATGGATTTGAGCAGGACCCTGTCCTTCTTTAAGCCTTTTGAAATCTGTAACGTGGGGATAATGCAGCTCCCACCGCACAGGTTGTGGGGAGGGTTAACACAGTACCTAGCCCTCAGGATCGTATGTCCATATAATCCTTTCTGAGGGCCACCTGTCCGAAAATGCAGGGCCGAGGGAGCGCTAGGCCCCCCTCACCCCTCTCCTTCCTGAGTTCACTGGTCCTGGCGTGAGGGATGAGTCGGTCCTCTGGGGTCCACGGCCTGGGATGTCTCAGGCTTCCTCACTCAGAAGCTTCCCTGCAACCACCGCTCAAAAAGGCTCCTTCTGAAAAAGCTTCTCAGCCCCTCTGTTCAGGGCAGTTAATGGCGGTGGAGCAGGCCCCTGGGGAAGGAGGGGTTGGGAGAAGGATTTTGGCTGAAGGAAGTCTGTTCCACATCCAGGAGCCCCAGTGCCGGGAGCTTTTAATGTGTTTGTTGTAAAACTGTCAGCCTGGGAGTCACAACACAGCTCACAGTGACGGGGAGCCTGCCTGTGACTCAGCCATCAGGTAAGACAGGACTTGGGGTGGGGTTGGAGGTGGGGGAGGAAGGGGGGCTTCAGAGAGCCTGTGGGGGAGCGGGGATGTCTCATGTGGAGGCCCAGAGCCCAGGAGGGCCCCACAGAGAGCTGGTCCTCCCATCAGCCATCATGAGGAATGACGGGCAAGCTGGTATTATTGGCAGAGCCCGCAGGGTGACTTGGGAAGGCGAGATGGATTTTCCCAGATGCATGCCCCTGTTCCTGAACCTGCCTCTGCTCCCTGCTGATCTCAGAGAATCCCAGCATTTTGGAGCTAATGGGACCCGAGCCCAGCTTTTCCCGTGAGCAGGCCCAGGGGTGCCTCACAGAGAGTTAGGGACAGGGCGCACCTTCTGTGTACTATCCATCTGCCAAGGTGGGTAGGAGCCATATGGAAAGCTGCTCTCAGAAGGCACACATGTTCGCACCCCAGAGTGATTACCACTTACCTGAGCCAAGCACTGCAATTCCAAAGTGCTTGCCCTTCCATCCTTTCACATAATCGGCCCAGCAACCCTGGAAACCCACCACCATGAACTCTCTTTAGTCAGGGAGGAAGTTGACACACCAAAAGGTTTTGCTAAAAGGACCACACGGCATCCACATGAATTAAGCTTTGGCTGTCTACCCCACTCACAATAGCCCTATGAAGTAGGCATTATTATCCTGGTTGTGCAGGAGCAGCCAGGGCTCAGAGACACGAAGGAGCTTGTATGAGGCCACTCAGCTAGTTAGGTCGCTGGGACAGAACTCGAACCCAGAGCCCAAGCTTCAGGATGGGGATGCAGAGTCATCCGCTGCCGCCACTGTCCGCCAGCCGTGAAGATCCTCGTGTGGGTTCGTTGTCTTGAGGCTGGGCTCCTGCTATGCCGCACAACAGACAACTGCAGAAGGGAGCAGAGGAGGCAGGGCTTGCTGTGGTCAGCGGAGGCCTTGAGCCGCCCTCTGCTGGGAAGGGGGGAGCGTGGGAGCCCTTGGCTGAGGCTCCAGGTCCATTTTAATCAGTGATGTATTAAAATGTTCCTGCTGGAGGCCACCCCGTCCGCCAAAGCGGGAATCTCGGCCTGGGAAGTCAGTCCGCCTTTCCGGAGGACTCCACTCAGCAAAAGAGAACATAAATCTTACACATCCACTCGAACATCAGGGTGAGCATTTGTTGAGAAGGCACTTTGGGGACTGGGCAGATATCGAATTATACCAAGTGCAGGATATCTGGTTTGGTAGCAATACATATGACAAGGGCCATCAACAGTCCGAGGTGGGGGAGGGTGTCTCCACGCCTCTATGCGTGGATGGAGCATCGTGGCTGCATCTTTCAAACGCCACTAATTGAATGCTTGTCATAAGCATCCATCTCTCCGGATTCTGCTTCTGTGTCCTGTCCAGCCTGACAGTCTGAAGGAATATCAAAAAGCACCTCCAAGAGGGAAATTGGCAAATTAAGTTTTAAAAGAAAGAGACTTAAAAATTACTGCTGTCCGGAGGCCCCAGAAGAAGGAGTGAGCTCTGTAGACAGCAGGCAGCAAAATCCGGGGCCCTGAGGACCCAGCGGGAGGGGCAGACTTTAAGGAGGCTGCTGCAAGAGTAAAGGGCTCGAATTTAGGACTTAGGTGACTTGGATTGGAAACTTCTCTGGTATGCTTTCTAGTTGTGCCTTGGGGCCAGTTTCTCAAGCTCTTTGGGCTTCTGTAAAACGGGGGTGACAAAATGCCTACCACACAAATAAACAGCACCCCCTTTCTCCTTCCCAGCACAGGACCTGGTGCATAATAAATGGTAGCCATCAATATGAACATACTAGAGGCCTGGTGCATGAAATTCGTGCATGGCAGCGGGGGATGTCCCTCAGCCCGGCCTGCACCCTCTATAATCCGGTACCCCTTGGGGGACATCCCTCTTGCAACCCTGGACCTCTGGCTCCTAACCTCTCGCCTGCCCGCCAGCCTGATCCTCCTAACTGCTCTCCCCTGCTGTTCTGATCACCCCTAACTGCCTCTGCCTTGGCCCTGCCACCATGGCTTTGTCCAGAAGGACATCCAGTCTAATTAGCATATGATCCTTTTATTAGTATGGATGTGAAGTGCCTACTGTGTGCTAAGTGATGGACTTTCAAGACCTAGCAAACAGTTCTGGCTGCACAAAGCTTCTTGGCAGATGTTTTTTGGCAGCCCAGAGCTGACACCCAGGGTACTAAGGGGCAGTGGTGGCATCACCGTAGGGTTGGGGAGGAGGGAGGAGTCAGCTTGCTTCTCATTATCTCCATCAGCTCCCCAAAGCACCCAACAAATCCAATCCTAAGTAAATCTGTGTGCTTGCTCCCCAAAGCAGTGTCAAGAGAAGTCTCCACACCCTTCTAACCAGATTGTCTGAGGTCTTCGCTCTATGGATGGGGACTAGCAGGTAGGACTTTTTGCCTAGGAAGGGAAAAAAAAAAAGCGGCGCTCTGCTTGGATCCCCTCCTACAGATCCTCCTCAAGCATTTTATTCATTTGACAGATGTTAACTTAGCACCTACTGTGGGCCAGGCCCTGTGCCAGGCTCATTGGGTATGAAATGGTGAGGAAGCGAGTTTTCCCTGGCTTGAAAATGATGATAGTTGCCATGAAAATGAGGTGGGAGCTAGTGGCTTGGATACTCCGGAAGGCAGAGGCTCAGATCCTTAATTCTGGCAAAAAGAGGGAACCAAAGGGAACTGGGTCTTGGGATTGCCTGAAATGTAAACGTGAGAGCCACTTAAAAAAAAACTAAACTTTTACTTCAGAATAGCTTCAGGTTTGCAGAAAAGTTGTGAAGATAGTGCATTTACCCCTGACCCAGTTTCCTCTATTGTTCACATCTGTCATTACTACGGTACATTTTTCACAATGGAGGAGCCAACACTGGTCCTTTATGATGAACTGAACTCCACATTTCATTCAGATTCATTCATTTTGATCTGTCCCAGGATTCCATCCAGAATACAGCATTACTTTTAGTCATCGTGTCTCCTTAGGCAGCCCTTGGCTGGACAGTTTATGAGACTTTCCTTGTTTTTTTTTCTTTTTTAAAATATATTTTTATTGATTTCAGAGAGGAAGGGAGACGGAGAGAGAGACAGAAACATCAATGATGAGAGAGAATCATTGATCAGCTGCCTTCTGCACACCGAACATCAACTGCCTGCCTCCTGCATGCCCCACACTAAAGATTGAGCCCACAACCTGGGCATGTGCCCTGACCTGGAATAGAACCCTGACCTACTGCTTCATAGGTCGACGCTCAACCACTGGGCCACACCGGCCGGGCTTTCCTTGATTTTGATGGTCAGGTGTTTTGTAGACTGTCCTCAACTGGGGTCTATCGGATGTTTCTCTCATAGTTCAACTGGGGTTATGGGTTTTGAGAGGAAGACCATGGAGGTAAAGCATCATTCTCATCACATCAGGTCAAGGATGCATGCTGTCAACATGGCTTATCACTACTGACGCTGACCTTGGCTTGGGATTCTTCTGTCCAGGTGATGCAAGTGACCCACTTATCTGCGGTTCAACTCTGCCTCCGTGTTGAGCAAGCCACTGTGGTCTAGATGTAATCGTGAGTTCCAGGCAAACCGGGGAAAAACAGAAATGCCACAAGGCCCAAGGTACTGCCTGATGACCGATAGATGGAACCTTACAAAAGAGAAAGAGAAAAAAAGAGAGAGATGAAAAACACAACCAGCACCCTAATAAAAGCAACTTCCTGTGGAGGGGAGCTGTCACTCTGCTTAGAAACTGTGCAGAATTTTCTCTTGGAAACCTTCAGGCAGCTGCTCTAGTTTATAAAATCTGCCTATTGGAAGGAAGGAGAAGGGGAAAAGCGGTTGTCGTTATTCCAGCAACAGAGATTCTCCCAAACCATGTGCAAAAATAAATCCCTGGAGACCGAGCTGTATCCGGGGAAACCTGGCCTCGGGGCAGGAGCCTGTGTGGTGGGTCCTGGGGATAGCGAGCCTGTGTCCTCCGGCCCCAGACACTTCTCCAGTGGGACAGAGAACCCAGAAAGAGAGCCCCACCTTGCCGGCACTGCCCCCTCTCCCCGACTTTCCCCCTTTTCTGGAATGAAGATTGGTGTCTGGCGTCACCTCTCACATGGGAGGGTTTGTTCTTAGCCCGGGGCAGTGCACACCCATGGGCCTGGAGGAAGGCCTTTGACCCAGAAACAGCTGTTTGAGGACAAAAGGTCACTAAAGGGGAAGGGAGGTCAGGAAGGACAGGCTGAAGGGGAGAGCAGGACCCGGGAAATGTGCCATGGGAAACCCTAACGGAGTGGTGATGGGGGTGGGGTTGGTGGGGGGCCGACAGTGAGGACAGGAAGTCGCTAGGGAAAGGGGTGTCCTGTAAGGCAGAAAGTGGGTGGCTAAGGTATGAAAGAGTTTGGTTGGGAAGGGTGCTTGCGAAGAGGAAATCAGCTAAGCAATCAATGAATTAAAGAAATCCATCTGCATTCAAGGACTGGCCTGTCAGGTGTGGGGTGGGGTGGGCACTGGGGGGACAGGGCTTGAAGGCCTCTTCCGGCTTTGGGGGACCTCACTGCCTGGTCATTGACGGTTCAGTGACAGTGAAGCTTCCAGAGGTCAGGAAGAGGGGTGCCCAGGAAGCTTAGGAAGCCCTTGGGGAACCCTAATAGGTGTCACCAGCATTCCCGGTGGGTGTCTCTGAACGGATGGGCCAGTGCGTTCCACTCCCAACTGTGCCCTAACACCTCACGTGCGTGTCACCCCGCAAGTATTTTGCCTCCCTGGGGCTCCATTTCCCAAAGTGGAAAATACTATTTATGAGGTGCTCGCTCTAGGCTGGTAAGTGTTCTACGCTCTGCATTTATTTCATGTAATTTTCACAACAGCCCGATGAGGGGGGTCCTGTCATTATCACCCCCATTTTACAGGTAAGGGACACAGGGGCACAGAGCAGCCAAGTCACTTGCCTAAGGTCGCACAGCTCGAGAGTGGAGCTGGGCTCGGCACCCCGGGGTGCTGACCCCAAGGGCCCCAAGTTCCAAAGGCTCCCACGTAGGGAGGGGGCGCGGGACTGGACAGCTTTCCACCGCCTCTGGCAGCTCAGCGCGCAGCGTGCAGAGCCCAAAACGCCCATCCTCCCGTGGGGGCGGGGAGGCTGAGGATCCGGTTGGCCGTGAACCCTGGACCGGGCCAGCGGTTGCTATGGGGACGGCTGGGCGGAGCCAAGGGCCCCAAGTTCCAAAGGCTCCCACGTAGGGAGGGGGCGCGGGACTGGACAGCTTTCCACCGCCTCTGGCAGCTCAGCGCGCAGCGTGCAGAGCCCAAAACGCCCATCCTCCCGTGGGGGCGGGGAGGCTGAGGATCCGGTTGGCCGTGAACCCTGGACCGGGCCAGCGGTTGCTATGGGGACGGCTGGGCGGAGAG